TGAAACCAAATAAAAAATTCAAGATGGCCGCCATGCCAACCAACCATAGAAAACACAAAAATGGCTATAACTCAGCTATTTTAAAATATATTGAGCTGAAAATTGCCAGGGTGGTAGCTGAGTGTTATCCTCATCACTTACTGAAACCAAATAAAAAATTCAAGATGGCCGCCATGCCAACCAACCATAGAAAACCTAAAAATAGCTATAACTCAGCTACTCTAAGACATATTGAGCTGAAAATTGTTAAGGTGGTAGCTGAGAGTCCTCCTCATCACATACTGATACAAAAAAAAATTCAAAGATGACCGCCACAGCCAACCGACTATAGGAGGCATAAACATGGCTATAACTTGGCTATTTCAAGACAAACTAAGCTGAAAACTGGTGTAGTAGTTGTATCTGTATAATAACTCCTAATTGTTCACGAGCAATGTTTATTTTATGTTTATGAAGTTCCTAAATGGCTAGTGGAATAAAAAAAATGCATCACATCCAACAAGCAGTAACAAGACCATTTGAGGAATCGAGAAATTTTAGTTTCAATACCAAATCATATTAATTTCTGGCTTCTTCACACCTCAAACTGTCAGATTAATTAAATAAATTCCTCTTTCATGAAATCCGTAACTTTTAAAAAGTTGATTTAACAAAGCTAAAAACTTTTCCGAGTATTTCTCTGTGACTGCAGCAGTGCTCTAGCGCCACGCTGAACAATGGAACTGAAGTCAGACTCGGTGCAACGCTCTGACCCAGATATGTGAGAATGTGTTGTACGATGACGGAGGATCTGCTACATTCTGTCATCGTGGCCTCCCCACACTCGGCCACCAAACAGGTTACATAAACAAACACATGTATCAGACAGATGTACGCCACGTAACGGCTGCCCCGGATGCTTCAGTAAATGTGTAAAGCGATCGCTCCTGGAGTGTTTACACAATCGTGGCTGGATGTAGGGCATCCAGAGGAGGGAGGAGGAGGAGGAGAGGGAGGAGGAGGAGGAGACTTGAGTGGTTGCATAACCCTACGCTGCTCTGCCATGTGCTGCCCCAGGCGAGTCAGTGGGACACACCAGAAATGTGTTGACACCATTAGAGGTGATTACGAAAGGCTAACCTGGATGTTTTCAGGCTTCACATGCTTCCTGAGCTAAGAGATGACCCCCGCAGATCTCAGACAACTGTTTACGAGGTTTTTTTAAAGGCCTAAAGACCACAGAGCCACGCAGACTCTGCTCCGATAAAATACATGTTCTTTTCCGCTGAAGCATGTTTTCAATAGAAGCAGCTGATCTGTGTGGTTCATCAACGGGAAAGCATATCCTGCTGAACAAGATTTAATTTATCAGAACAGGACAATAGTTTGATGCTGAGTCAGCAATTTAATTACTTCAGCATACTTCAATATTATGGATATTCATGTGTCATAACATTCTGTTCATTGTGGAGATTCTTCCTTTGCACTTTTTTAATATGACGTTCAAAAACATTTAGCTACATTTACAAATAATTGCCTCACAAAAAGCCATTAAAGTCTTTTTAATTTATTCAAAATCAAAGTTCTGTTTTGTTTACTCGCTGTGATTATGTTCTCCTGTTCTACTTTTAGCTGGTTGTTACAGTTTTGTGACTTTGAGATTTCCTTTTGCTACTTTTAGCTCATCCATGCTACTGCTAGTTTTTAGCTCTTCTTTTGTTACCTTTAGCTTCTAACTATCATTTTGTTGCTTTTAGCTCATCCATGCTACTGTTATTTACTCCTCCTTTACTACTTTTAGCTTTGAACGATCATTTTGTTGCTTTTAGCTTGTCCATGCTACTGTTATTAGCTCTTCTTTTGCTACTTTTAGCTTCTAACTATCATTTTGTTGCTTTTAGCTCATCCATGCTACTGTTATTAGCTTCGCCTTTGCTACTTTTAGCTCATCCATGCTACCGTTATTAGCTCATCCTTTGCTACTTTAGGCTTTGAACTATTATTTTGCTTTTTGCTAGACTTTTTTAGCTTTAAAACTTAGTTTCTGCTTATTCAGCAAACTTTGTTCCTCAGAATGCTAATTGTCCAGTACTGAATGTAGGTCCACCTCAGCTAAATGACCTCAGTCTACACAAACACGTCTCACACAAACACAAATCCACACCTCAGTGGATTTTACAGCTAAACACTGAGCTAAAGTTTGGAAAGAAGAATCCTTCTTCCAGATCATCTAAAGACCTGATCAAAGTTTTTGTTTTCTTAACATTTTGTACATTTCTTCCTCCAGCTGTGAGGAACGACAGGAACAGGCGAAAAGGCAAGAAGGAGGCGGTGAAGATGACCATCATGGAGACGTACGAGTTGACGGCGGAGCTCGGTCTGATCGTGGAGAAGATCTGCAGAGCTCACAGAGAAACCTTCCCCTCCCTCTGCCAGCTGGGAAAATACACCACAGTGAGTCTGTTAGCCACATCAGCAAAACGGTAGCTGGAAGCTAAAAGAGGCAAAACGTTAGCTACAAGGTAAAAGAGGCAAAAAGTTAGCTAGAAGCTAAAAAAAGGGCAAAAGTGTACCTAAAAGGAAACAATAACAAAACACTATGCTAGAAGTAAAAAAAAAAATCACAGGCTAAAAGTTAAAAATTGTAAACAGTAGCAAAAACACCAAAATGTTAGTTTGAAGCTAAAAGTGAAAAATTACAAACCAAAAGCTAGAAATAGCAAATGGCTGGCTAACAGCTAGTATTAGCAAAGAGCTAGCTAAAAGCTAAATGTATTACAACAGTAGATGAAAGCTAAAAGTAGCAAAGGAAGAGCTGAAGTATAAAGTAGCAAATGCTTACCTAAAACCTAAAAGTTACAAAAGGCTAACTTAAAGCTAGAAGTAGCAAATCCCAAGCCAAAAGCTAAAAGTAGTAAAACAATAGCTAAAAACAGCCAAAGGTTAGCAGCTACAAGTAAACAATGGTTAACTTAAAGCTAAAAGTAACAAATTACCAGTTAAATGCTAAAAACAGCAGCTAGCTTAAAGCCACTAATAGCAAAGAGCCAGCTAAAAGCTAGTGTCACAACAGTTGATAAAAGCTAAAAGTAGCAAAACTAGAGCTTAAATCCTAAAATATTAAAACGTCAATCTAAACTCTAAAAGTAGTAAAAGCTAAAATGTAGATGTAATAAATCAAAAGCCTCAAATTTTAGCTAAAAACAGCAAATGGTAAGTTAGAAGCTAACTTAAAGCTAAAAGTAACAAGAAGCTAACAGCTAATATAGCATAGCAGTGACTAAAAGACGACAATATAATATATAATATAATAT